GTGTCTTTCTTCATTTTTAATGCCATATATATTATAGAAATGTTAACGTTATGTATATACACTGCAATCGCACAAACAACTTTATTCTTAATCTTGTTTTTAATCTCAATCTATATTCGTAGCTCCTACTTGGGTAAAATCGCAGAATAAGGTTTAAAAATTCGCATGTTTTTTCCTGAATTATCTCTTAATTAATATTTCAAGTCTTTGTAGAGTGTGGTGTACAATTATTCAATTACCCCAAGTAGCATAGCAACGCCTGTTATGTATAAATACAGCGTTGAAAAAGTGCTTACACATTTTCTTAGAGCTTTTTTTAACGCTTTGTAGACGCCGTGCTACTTGGGACGTTGCGATTTAATAAAACGAATTAAAGAATTGCATACGTATTTGAGTCTAAACTGAAAGAACGAGAATAGGGTGTCTGTGATTTCGTATGACATCGCAGATATATCGCATTTAGGTATATCGATCGCAGTACCATAAGTACGTGTTGGACCAAAACTAGGAAACGTCGTATCTTGTACCTTGAGAGAAATATTTTAATATGTATAATCGTTTATTTTTTTGATACGTGACCAACAAAAACTTTCTTATTTCTTCATTTAAAAATTATGTTGTTCTATTTCAAATTTGGCCAAGTAGGTTGGATACAATTCAAATGCACGCAAAGAGAACAATTTTGCTAAAATATATATGTATTAATTTAAATGAATATAGATTTGAAATTAATTTTGTTGAGTCACCAAAATTATATAGGAAACCCAAGCATGATTATACTGTGAAAAATTTCAATATTCTCACAATTAGTTCAAGCACAATTATTCAAGTTATTTATTTTGTATATCTATCTAAAGTTGTATAGATATTTCAGCAAAACCATCCGTTCCTATATGACGATGACGAAGGCCATCAGACGGGGAATCGACCCAGAAGAAAACCTGCTCCTGTCGTGATACCTGTCTCCCCGTTATATGTATATACAGACATTCCAAGAGGAATGCAAAACGATGATGTAAGCCGATACATGAGTATCCTACCTGCAGTGTCAGTATCGCGCGATGATCGTTTTTTGATTAAGAATATAATCATGGTCGTCATTACAAAAATACGTATAGTACGCGCATTATGAATTTTCATAAATTTCCGATATAAGTTTCGAAGGATGTCTTGTCTGAGCTTTATGGTGTTTGGCGGTCGTGGAGAAATCGATGAGAAACGTCTGCAGTGAGCACCACGCCCAAAAGGGAGGTGCACCGAACGCGACAAACCCCATATAGGGATTCATATATTCACAATATTCTATATAGCGTTGTTACAATATACGTATCGAGGATGACACACAAAGTAGTCTTATTTTGACTTGTAATGTTTAAATGAATAAATGATTCGATCTAACACAATGCTCCATTAAAGCTGTCGAACTTTCAAAGAAAGCCTTTTCCGCAATACGGATATTCTGAGTTACGATTTTATAATAAAGTCTAAGTATAATCGCGTTGGTGTAATCTGTGTGCGTGTAAATCTGATCGAAATCGTATTTACCAGAAAATCATATTTCGAATCAATGGCGTTTTTTCAATACTGTAAGATATTTGTGCGAGTTCTGTTTTCATTAATCAATAGTATTTTAAAGTAATCGTGTATTTCACGTCTTGCACGATATTCGTTACCTAAATCTTCTCTTTTCACGTTAACGTGACAAGAAACAATAAGCGTAATGAGAAACTTATTTCGTTTCCCACATCGTCGAGGAGAAATTGGCCGTGCCAATAAAGTCAGTGACTTGGTGGCTTGGTTTAATTAACCCAAGGAGACGGCAAGATGTTTTCACGGCTTCAGAAATCAAGGCCACGTATAAGTATACACGCACGTTTTACAAGGTTGAGCGTGTAGCGCGTCGCGTGAACGAGGGCCTTCCTATCTTTGCTCCGACCTCTCTCTCTCTCTCTGTATGTTTTGAGAATAAATTGCAAACAAAAAGCCTCGAAAAGAGCCTTACAAGTCAATTGATTTTCAAATTAGATCAATTTTATACTCATTGTCAGTGAGAATCAGAAACATTTATTGTAAGGTCGAGTTCTTCTCGGATAACGAAGAAATTATAAAGATTATTTATTTGTACAATAATATTTCTTGATTCTAATGGTTAATTCGAAAGATATAGATTTAGATAATATAAAATAATGAAATTTTTACAGTGATCGTAACTGCCGATTTTATATTATTTTGCAAAGTTGGAAAGCTTTTAATTCATTCCATTGATGATATATGAAGTATAAATGACTGCAGATTCATATCAACTGTAAATATTTATATTTTTGCTCATGACGTTATTCATGGATTTGATTACCTGCAATCGTTTGTGATTAAAAGAATAAGAGAGTTTGAAGTTTCCATTTATAAGCATTGGTTTTTTTAATGACAGTAAGTATAGAGATTCTTGAAAAATGTAACGTCTCCGTTAACGTTATTATTGGTTTCGTGATAAAATATAAAACATAGTTTCTCTTTCTTTCTGTGATAGGATGTTACACCGATATCTTCCGGATGTTGGTATCCTTCGTGATAAAATTGAATAGAATTTTTATGCGATTCTTTTGCTTATATTATTGCGGTATTATCCTTATTTGTTAGCAGCTATGAATAATTATAATTAGTCTCGTCAAGAGAATCGCGCCCAACGCGATGCAATTGGAGCGATTCGTTTAGCTTAACGAAGGTTCATTCGTATATCCATATATCGTACGTGAGTAGCGTGAGTATATAATATACTTACCTACCTATATGTAATATTATGAAAATATAAGCTTGTGTGTGATTTATATACCTGGGGTTTTTGTTTGTCTGTTACAATAAAAGCAAAAATTTTACAGATACTTTGCAATTATAATATAATAGAAATAGGCTCAAATAATATTAAAGTTAAACAAAATAAAAATAGCGTTATGGGCCAAGTACGGTCTCAATGCTGAGTAATTAAAAATAAAATATATATATAAAGTTTATTATAGGAACGTTTTTAATCCATATCGGATCATTTTCAATGTTAAATAATAATTATTCCTAACGGTGTAAAATAATTATCATCGCTATGATTAAAAGTTAAAACTAAAATAATCGATATACCTAATTATTTTTAATTAAAAGTCAGTAGCAATAAATTAAAGTAAATAACAATATTAATTATAATACGCTGTATAATCTGAGTAGAACAACGGTTATCTTAAATATGGGTTTAACGGTTCGTCTAAATCATCCCATTTAAGGCAATCTTTGTTCAACTCAGATTATACAGCGTATTATAATTAGTATTTTTATTTATTTTAATTTATTATCTGACTTTTTAATTATATTGATTTAGTTTTAACTTTTAATCATAGTTTTTGGTATTTTAGAGTAAGAAATTCTCATTAATCGCAGTCGATTATTCTTTTCACATTTGAATATGATTAATCAATTCCTTATTCTTACAGTCTCATTCATTAATGCTGTAGAGATCACGCATTACGATTTCCTTACTGCTTAAGGCTGCAGCACAGGCTTTTGCATAACGTATAACGCATAGCACATATTAAGAGAATCAACCAATCAGAATTTTTCTTTTTTTTCCAGTTCACAGAAAAGAGAAGGTTTCATTGCTTGATTCTCTTATGCACTATGCGTAATGCGTTATGCAAAAGTATGTGCTGCGATTATTATATCTACACGCTTGATAAGTGTATCTAGCCGCTTTGTCGGCTTGAACTCGCCCTTTTTTTTTTGTTTTTACCGAAAATCGAAAATCTGATTAGCTCTCGCGCCAATTTCCATCGTGCGGCAAGCGTTATCGCATTTCTGTTTGCAGGAGTCATTAAACGACTGACTCGATTCAATTCTAAGTTTATGGTCTTTTTAGCTACATTTCTTGCAATTTAGCTCTTTCTTTTGTAGTTAAAAAGAACACATTGATTCGAAATCGAGTCGAATTAGTAAATCGAATATGCTATAAAGAATTCGAGATCTCGATTTTCTCGAGAAGTAAATAACGAATTACATTTAAATAAAAAATATTTTTTACGTCACTGCCTGTCATCTCGCTTAAAGCTGTAGAATACTCTAGATGAACTAAAGTAGCGTAAATGTTTTTCATCTTTGACCTAAAATAATCATGGGTGCGGTTGCCTGTCGAGTTGCATTTGATTGACCAATTAGAAGAAAGAATTTTATTAATTGACCAATCAAAAAATGCTCCGAAGCAGCAACTCGACCACACTTCATATTTAAAAGAATTCCTAATAATATTACGCGCTTATATTAAACTACAACCACCAGGTTAAAGATGGCCATCAAAATAGTTAATAAAAAATGTTGTTGGCATTTTGACTCAAATAAAAGGATTGTGCTATTTCGGTATATTTAGAACTTTTAAAACAGAGAATAGGAACAGAAATAACGAATAAAAATTTGAACCTATCAGAAACCGTGTATTCCATGCTACATCGTTTCTGATTGGTCGAAATTCTTATTCTCTGTTCCTTCACTGTTTCTTTGATTGCACGAAGCCTCTTACAGCTCTCTGGATAGTTGCTGCTTCCGTATACGCTGTTGATTTCGTTAATTCACTTATTGAATAATAAGTCTTATTCAAAGTAGAATACAAAGAGAGAAATTCGTATATAGGTCCAGTTAAACTGCTAATCTCTGGCTTCAAACTACCAATAGAATGTTTGGTCTATGACAGGTATTTATAGTCGATTCTTATTTCAAAATTGTCTTATGATGCTAATGCAACCCTATGATTGGCTCGATGATACCCCAAGCCGACTATGAATACTGGCCTTTATACCTTTACATGACAGCGTCACAAACATCGTGAGCTTGCTATTCGTCAGTTTTGATCACTTGACTTGTTTTTAGCGAATAGTAAGCTCACAATGCTGGACGCTCCTATGTAATGGCACCTTTACGCTATAATCTGAAATTCTGAATATACCTTAAATGGTACCTTATGAAGAAGTAACAACTCTCCACTCTTTCCTCGTTGTTCATATGGTCAACTGTCGATGACAGTTTTTGACAATTACGAAGTTTTAAGAGAAGGTTAGTTTTCAGATTATCGGCTATTTCTCTGATCTGAAACTTGAATGTTGAAGCGACTATAATTTATAATTTTTATATTTTGCTGTAGTAAACATTTTTTGGCACATTAAAATATAATTGATTGAAATATTGAAGCAAGAATTGCAACATGTATCATCAGGCAAAATATTTTTATTGAAATCTTCGTGGAGGTCGATCAACGATATCATGACGCGCACAAACAGGTTTGTCTTTTAAACGATTGCGAGGTAACGTAACGAATTGTGATACTTTACGTATACGCAGGGCTGGGTATACATATAAAATACTTTTATATAACACGGTTTTTGCAATAAAAGTGTATTTCATTTTTACATTTCAGCGATGCACATGAAAGTATTACATATTTTATATTTAAAATTAAAGGTTTCATGTTTTTTTTCGTAATTTAAATAATAATATTAATTGTCAGTACTTTTGATAAATACAAAATATAAAATACTTTAATATACTTCCATGAAATCTAAAGTGTAAAACATTTTCATGTGCTTCGTTGAAATATAAACTGCAAGATACAATTGCTACAATGTTTTACAAATACTATTTTCCAAATAAAAGTATTTCAAATACATGCTCAGCTTTGTATATACATACCATGTGTACAAATGTATATAAAAATATATATAAAAAGACAAATGTAAATAAAAGAAGTAGTTATAAAACATAATTTTAATCTATAACAGCATTGTTATTTCATAATTATTTTTTATTTGAATCGTTTAGGAAAAGATGTCGCAACATAGAAGAAGAATCCAGTGACTTTATGCCATTGAGCAAACGAATTAACAATCTTCATATCAATGGTTTATCTGGTCTACGAGAGAACACTGTGGAGAGTACAGTGGAGAATATGGAAACTGATTGGGAAAGTGGAAATTTCATGTCGTCTCCAAGCTGCTCAGAGATATCTCAGAATTCATCGCCCAGAGGCAGTTGTGGTTCCAGCCAAAGCAGTTTCACCAGTGATTACAGACCAGATTTGGATGCGACGGAAAATCCTTTTTATTATGAGAGTAATAAATTGCTGTTTTCCTTATACATGGAACGTATGCAGAGGAGACCAGATCTTTATTAACGGAATGTTTCACTTGTGAAGCATCTTGAGATTTAGTCAAACTCGCTGTTTTTCTCTTGTCCTTCTGCATGATATATTCGACGATGTTTGGTTTCCCAGTCATTTCTTGGATAATGATAAAGTGTACCACAGCAATAAAATTGGTATATAAAACTTTTATCAGAAGCAGCATCTATAGATATAAGATTCAATAATGTACAATCGTGTTGGAATATTAAGCATCTTTAATTAGTGCATAAAATTGTGTATAAATGAGAGTGTAAATGAATGATTAACATGAAACCATGGAAGTTGTAATATTTCTTTATTCGAATTACGCTGTTCTCATGCAAATCATCCTAGGCTAGTTACATTTTTATTCGTACATATTGATATTGGTATATGACGATATAATCTTGTTTACACTGAGCACTTGATGCATCTACGAACTAATAACATTCTGTTAAATTATCTTAATTTCTCATGATTACTTATGCCTGTTTCCAACAATGCAGATTAACTTTAATCTCGGTTTAACTTACTGTTAATCTTTTTCTAATTTTTAGAATTAGAAAAAGATGAAGAGCAACTTGAACTGAGATTAAAATTAATCTACATTGGTGGAAATGGACATTAATCATATAAATGCATATTGTACTAGCTCAGTACAATATTCTTTAATTTTATTACTTATATATTACCGAAATTAAAATAATTTAATAGAAAATTATTATAGTTAGTATGTGTGTATCAAGTGCTCAGTGTAAAGGACCAAGTCGATATTCATAATCGGTTCTTATTTTAAATCATCTTAAGTAACATATTAAAGATTCTAATACATCTTTCTGATTGGCTCATGACATCTTGAGACTGCATTTAAGACAGTCTTAAAATTCATAATGTTGGTTTCGGGATTTCGAGAACGTTTTGCAAAAATGCGCGCATACAATCAAGCGCTAACTTTATATAATAATTTCAAATAAGAATTTTTTCTGTATGGTTCTCTCAATACTTCTAGATTATTTCTTTTCATCACGTCGCTATACGCTGACAGCGCGGAAGATATCGTTCCAAAACGAAAGCTGCGTTCGCATGAAAAGCATGCTTACTAAAGTTGAAACGCTATTGGTAGCATGCACTTATGACGACACGCACGCAGCACTGGTAATCAATTTTGGAACACAGCCAGAGAAGAGTGACCGTGACGAAAAAAAAGGGATCGACATTTAACGGAGAGTGACGACGACCGAACGCTCTCAGATCGTGCGAGATAATTCGGCGCGATAATTTTTTTTGGCGAGTACGCATATCGTTTTGCGAGTGTGGTAAGGAGCATCAGCTTGCGGGGAACACTCGATCGGCAAGTACGCGCAAGCGCCACGACGCCACGTTCTAATTGCCTCATTATCACACTCATACACCCTACTCTGCAGTCTGCACGTAACCGCCGCCATAATTAATACTTTAACCGTCGAAATCCTCAACAGCGGCATCCTAGAAAGCGGGATTATCGCGTGTATCCCGTCGAACGAAAAAACCGAGATCCGAGGGGGACGGGAGATAGCGACGAGTGCGTGGAAAGCGCGCGTCGTCGTCGAGCCAATCGAAGCGTCGCGCGTGTAGAGAGACCCAGGCAGAGTAGAGACGGAGACTGTTGTGTGCGGTCTGTACGCGCCAGCGCGATTCCCTCCAACTTGCCCGGAGTTTCCGGACGAGTGGCGTTCGGCGGTTATCAGTCACTCGTAACACGTTCGGAGTGGTTTACGCGTGGCCACACCACCGTCCACCACCATCGCGTGGTGTCAGTCAGGCCGGCTATGTACCGTTAGTTCGAATCTATTTCCCGTTGGTCGGCTCGAGCGACATCCATGCTCGCGTACCTACCGACCGAGGAGGGCTGAGCCATATTCGATCGCGGGTTGGTTGTATAAACCCGGAAACGAAGCGTGTGCGCGTCTCCGTTCAGCGAGAGCGCCGAGAGGAGCTCGTTGTGCGTTAGAGAGAGAGAGAGAGAGAGTAGCAGAGTGTGCGAGTGCGAATTTATCGCGGAGTCACTCTCGAGCTCTCGTCCAACTTCCGTTAGAGACGTGCGCGCGTCCGTCCTGACGTCTCTACGCATATGTATGACGTGTGCATCGCAACGGGCACAGCGACTGCCGCGGCGATATACGACGTCGGTCGTCGTGTTCACGTTGAAATGAGAAAGTTGTTGCCGCTGCGCTGAGAGGATTGGGAACGCGACGACGCACGCGAACCAGCCAGACGGACAATTCCCGTACTAAGAGCGGAGGTACGGAGAGACCGAAGGCAGCGACAGTAACAGCGGTACATTGAGCCGAGTGCGCACGGAGAGTCGTCGTTGGTCGTCCGCTCGTTCCCGTCTACCTGCCTGTACTTACGAGCACTTTACGAGTAAGTAGAACAATGTCGCGAGCTCTTAGCTTGTTTCACACCTCGGAACGTTCGCGATCTTCCTCGTATACTTAACACGTCGAACGTTTTACGTGGGATTTTTTTGCGTATGCAAAATGACCATATGTGTCTGTCCTCTGCATCTCTCTCTCTCTCTGTCTCTCTCCTCTCCATATGTATATATATAAAAAATATATATATACACGTATGTATCGGCTTGAAGTATATATATATCTCTTTCTATCTGTGTGGCCGTCGATAGTTCTCTCCCGACGGTGCGCGGACGGTAGGTGCTGGTAGGTGCCATGTCACGCTCGACTCCAGACGACGAGATGCCACGAGAAACCGCGAAACAGTGGCCACAGAGAGCACCCACCCCAAGACACTAAAATCGTCGCGGGGCCCTCGTCGTGGCTCACGGCTTGGCTCGAGCTGGCTTTGGTGGGGTGGTTGGAGGTGCGGACAGTGGTTGAGAGGCTGGTGGGGTTGGAAATTGCGTGGTGGTGGGTGTTCGTCGAGGTCTCGGAGGCCCCTCCGTGGCATCTCGCTGCCTCTAACCCATCGAGGTGGGGGTGTAAACAACAGCCCTGCCCGTGTACCTCGCCGTCGTTTCGTCTCTCTGCCCTGCACTCTCCGTCAGCTGATGCGTCTTCTGCCGCGTGCTCTCGCTCGCGTCTCTTTCCTATTTCCGTCCTTGTACGGAACCCCCGGGTACGACTGCGAGGGAACGGGACGGTAGGGAGAGAGGACCACACGGAGATCACACTCTCGGCGCGTTAGAAGAAGGGATCTCTCGTTGTGTTCATAGAGCGGGAGAGAAGCGAAGAGAGGGAAATGAAGAAAAAAAAAAAGAAAAGTCCGCGTCACAATTCTCTCACGCGCTCTTACGTGGATCATTTTTTTCCAACATGGCGGGGGTAGGCAAGCCACGCTTTGCACATTTTACCGACGCCGTCTCGGCCG